AGTGGGAGGAAGATTCGATTAAGAAGATTAAACAAACGGCCGAAGAATGCAGACAAATGGTCATCGAACATAGCAGTACGCACTTTATTGAAATAGAAAACAACCTGTTGCAATTAACTGAACGCTTAAAACAAATTCGTAAAGAAAATGAATTTAATGAAGCTGATTTAAATATATTTAAAACACAATTAATGAAAATAGCAGAAGAACTTGATGAATCACCAAATATTAAAATTGAGTACGATTCTGGATCCTTTATAGATAAAATTTCAATTCTTGTTTCACCTGGTAAGCATGATAATAACATATTGAATTATAGAAAAGCGAAGTTTATAGAACTAGATTACAGTTTTTGAAAATTTTTGACTAAAGATCAGTGAAGAAAATCCCGGAGATTTATACATTCCTATTCAAAGATTCTATTATTAGCTATAATATATCAAAAGAAAACTTATCAATGCGATAATTTAATCAAAATTATTCTCTCTAAGATTTCTTCCAAAAAATGTATATTATTTAATCTGACATATTCCCAGGTTTAAAACCTACGATCGTACACGACCGTATACAAAAAAAATACGACGAATAACGATGGTCGTATACGATGTTATACGATTATATACGATTGCCGTAAACGACCACTGAATACGACCATCGTAAACGACACTCGTATACGATCGTATGTTGGTCGTGTATTTTTCTCGTATATAGTAAGATAGCTGGATAGTGTTATATACGTGTCACTTTTTGTTACAAATTATTGATTTGGTTTATATTTTCTATTTTACATAATCTTTATGCAATATACTTTCTAATTATTAACAATGAGCTGGCTAGACTCTTGTTATATTTATTGTGACGGGAAAGTGTGGACAATCTCTTTTTTTGTTTTTATTCTGGATTCTTTACTGAAAAATGCTGTCTTGCATGTTCCATAGGCCACAAGAAGTAAAATCATCATTATATCAATCAAAAACAATGTAGAGATGTTTGACTAAAAAGATGACTTTTTCAATCTATCACATTTAAGATTTAATTTTTATTAGATATATTAATAAAGATATGCATCTCGACTTTTTTCTTTATAATCGATTTTGTATAATAACTTATGTGTTGCTTATCTTAAAAATTTTATATAACTAGTTAGAGCAATATTATATATAAAAATTATGCTCACAAAAAAACTGTATCGAATAATTTCATAAAAAAGTTTTGCCTCTATATTTGGAGAACACTTGATATTATACGACGCGTAACGTCTTTTTTCATGTTTTCATTTTATGTATTGTCTCGAACGATTGCATTATTATCTACACAGAATAATACGTGAAATAAACATATATTATAATTATGAAAAATCGCTTAAAACCATAATAAAATGCCTAAAATTGCTCCATTTGCCACACACAACACTGATCATATACAGGTGTTTGCAAAAAAACTTGCACATCTTTTTATACGGCTATTATCTTATATAGATGTCCTCTTCAAATCGTTTTATATTGTAGTTGATAGCCCACGAAGAGTACTATAAAGCAGTACAATTTGATATTCCCTTTGGTTACCTTTAGAGGAAATAGAAAAGGAAAATCTTTTTTCTTGAACAAGGCAAAATTATTTACAACACAAATTTCAACATTTTTAACTTCTTCACCTGAAAAATGATGGGGTTCACCATTTTTTTTTGAATTTATTTTCTCAACATTATAGTTTATGGCTGACCGAAGATTCCTATGAAGTTAATATCCAGGGTATCAGATGAGTACTCGAGTATTTATGGTGTAATAATGTTAACGAATTGTTCAATGACATGACTGATACATTTTCAGCCATTTTCCTCATTAGAAACGCCCTTGATGACAAAGCTTTTCTGCGGTGATATCGGTCTTTTAATCGCTTGCGCCTAACAGCAAAAAAAAAAGGTAACTTTCAAGCATATAAGCTTAATAAAGGCTATCAGAACTGCATCTCAATGTATAATAGACAAGACATCTTGATTTGCAATATGGTCGCATTCATAAACTTTTTTTTACTTTTACAGGTACATATTTCAGTTGTTCGTTTGGACATTTTGACCAACAACGGTTTATTTTTATCTGGTATTATTGTAATAAATAGTTCTTAGCAGAACACTTGTTTTACAATCAATCACACAGCTAGATCTTATGGCTTTGTTTCGACAGTATAATATTAATATATGCTAGATTTTCGAGAGAGTAGAAAGTAGTATAATCATATAAATTTTTATTAAAAATAAGAAAACCCGGAGTTATCTATGGTGGTTATCTAGTATAACTACTGAAGAGTCAACACTAAAAAAATGACGCTTATAGTTCCTTCGAGCCATGGAAAAAACATTCTACGATAAAAAAAAATTTTGTGTAAGTTTTTTTGCAAATCACCCGTATAATCAATAATAGATAATTAGATATAAAATCACCAGTATGACCATATTTTGTGACGTGTACGGTCCGTTACAAGTATCGTAATGCTCGTCCTGGGTGGTGCAGTAAGTGTTGATTTCGAGAACTTTTATTTTTATCTCATTTTATGTTAATTACAACGACAGATCAAACAGTAGCTATTATTTTATTTTAATAAATTCTATTTTTATTCTTTGATTATCTGTAACAATAAATCAAGCAGTATGAATTTATTTGAACAAATTTTATGTCTCATTTTCAGACTATTTATAACGACAAATCAAACAGTGAGTATTAATCTATTTGAATAAATTTTTTTTTCTTATTAGATTATTTATAATGATATATCGAACAGTAAATAGTAACTTATTTAAATAATTTTTTTTTATTTTTAGATTAGTGAGAATGACAAATCAAAGGGTAAATATGAACTTGTTTAGATACAGTTTCTTTTTATTTTTTAGATTATTTATAATGATATATAGAATTTATAATTATATATAGAATGGTAAGTCATTTTTTATTTAAATAAATTTTTTATTTTTAGATTAATGAGAACGACAAATGAAATAGTAAATATTAATGTATTTCAATAAATTTTATTTTTAGTTTTAGACTATTTATAATGATATATAGAATTTATAATTATATATAGAACAGTAAGTAACTTTTTATTTAAATAAATTTTTTTTTCTTTTTAGATTAATTAGAACGACAAATCAAATGGTAGGTATGAATTTGTTTAAATAAAGTTTCTTTTTGTTTTTAGATTATTGATAATGATATGTCGAACAATAAGTAATTTTTTATTTTTACATTAGTGAGAACGACAAATCCAATAGTAAGTATCGATTTATTTGAATAAACTTTATTTTTATTTTTAGATTATTTATAAATTTTATTTTTACTTTTAGATTATTTATAAATTTTATTTTTATTTTTAGATTATTTATAGACTTTATTTTTATTTTTAGATTATTTATAAATTTTATTTTTAGTTTTAGATTATTTATAACATATAAAAGTAAGTAAGTTCTTATTTCAATAATTTTTTATTTTTGGATTAATGAGAAGGACAAATCAAAATATAAGTGTTAATATTAATTAATGTGGGTGCCCAGCCTGGCTGGCACCCACATTAATTAGTTTTTGTGTTATTTTGAGAGTGGAGGGGAGGGGGAGGGCAAATTGAAAAACCTTATGTGGAATACGGTAACAAACGACATTGTATACGACCATTTACGATCGTTTACGGTAGTCGTATAGACGTCGTATTTCGCCGTATACGACACGACGATATACGGTCGTAATTCTGGCGTCAAGTAATACGGCGAAATACGGTCGTATACGATCGTAATGTACGCCGTATACGACCGTACACGATCGGATACGCCGTCGTATACAATCGTTTACGACTGTCGTAATCCTCGTCCTGGGTTGATCTCCGTACTAGCTATGGTTTATTCATAGAGAGCGTGCTGAATTGAAGATGTCAAATAACACTCAATTTAGTATATATGATAGAGGTAAAAATTTCCTGATACTGAACGCAAGCTTTATTAAAAGATGATCGAACCCTTATTGGTGTTCTTGATTGGATAGACATTTCCACTCTGGAGTTTCTGTACAAATGAAACGAAATAAAATGTCTTCATTAAAAAATTTTTGAAAATTCATTGTCAACACTGAATTCAATCTTTACGCTGCAAAAATCACAGAAATTCTTCTCTCCTCTATTCAAACCAAAAAAAAATGAGATTCATCTCTGAGAACTTTTAATTGGTTTCACTTTTCCTGATTGCAGTGGCTATTCGATTTCTAAATTTCTCTTGATCTATCTTCTGTCTTCTGTCTTCTCTCTTCTATTCATATGAAAAACGAGCTCTACAAAAAATTTTCTTTTACCCTCGTTGTTGTTGTTTTTGTTCATTATAGTGATTGCCAATATTCATGTCAATGCTACATGGAAACCTAATGGGATGACTGTTGCCGGAGGTAATGGACCTGGCAGTGCCACTAATCAACTCACACGCCCTATGGGTATCTTCGTTGATGATGATGATCAGACGATTGTTATTGCTGACTGCGCCAACGATCGTATCATTCAATGGAAGATAGGTGATACGAATGGACAAGTCGTAGCTGGTGGAAAGGGCTATGGAAATGGTTTAGATCAAGTGGAATTACCAAAGCATGTGCTCATTGACAAAGAGACTAATAGTCTCATTATTCTTGGGAGTGGCTTTGGACGAATCTTTCGATGGTCTCGTCGCAGTGGAACGAGACAAGGTGAAATCCTCTTTGACAAGGCTCAAGGTTCTGGATTAGCCATGGATGATCAGAGATATGTTTACGTGTCTTATTTCGACGAAGTAAGACGATATCAACTAGGAAAAAAAACCATGGATGGAACTCTTGTAGCTGGCGGAAATGGTGAAGGTTCTGGCCTCAACCAATTCAAAACATCACTCTACATATTTGTTGATCGACAACAAGCTGTGTACATCTCAGACGACCAGAATCATCGTGTCATGAAATGGAATAAAGGTGCAAAAGAAGGCGTTGTCGTCGCTGGAGGTCAAGGGTCAGGGAATTCTCTGACACAATTGTCATCTCCTCGTGGACTTTTCGTTGATCACTTGGGTACTCTCTATGTAGTAGAAGCGGGAAATAATCGTGTAACACGTTGGCCTCAAGGAGCAAAACAAGGCACTATCGTTGTTGGTGAAGATGCTCAGTTGTCTGAACCCGAAGGTTTGTTCTTCGATCGTCAAGGCAATTTCTATGTTGCCGATTGTGGTAATCATCGTGTTCAACGTTTTTCTATCTAATAAAACCGCATTGTGATGAAAAGAAATCTTTTTCTTTATTTTGATTCTGTGCTCGTAGCGCGACCGGAAATGATCATGGTGAAATTGTGGCGAGTGTAAAACCCTTGCACGGACGGAAACAGACTCGAGTCGTGGGTGGGTGTAGATGTGTTGAGTGTCTGTGTGAGTGTTGATAAAAAAGAAAATTCATTATCATACGGACATCATCATTCACATCTACACATCCACTCACACACCGTTACTCGCACCCAACAAAATCAAGGCTTGAGAGTGTGGATGAAAGTCTTCAGTTCACCGACACTCACACCCACACCCGTTCATACTCTCAAGAATAAAGGAAGCTAAGCAAGAGGTGATGTCAATCAATATTAGTTCAGATGGTAGGTTCAAGATCGCTCCTTGCAACGTAGCAATTTACTCAAGTATGTTTTATAATTCTAACGAACAAGGAAAAAAAATATAAACAACACGTTGAAAAAGAAGTGAAAAGATAAAGCAGATAAGTTTTGATTATCTCTTAGCCAGTAATTCCAATAATGAAGCTTAAAGAAGATAAATAATAATGGTGTCAAATGCCGTCATATTTGTGTGTTGTTACATATGTGCATTTATTTGAAAAGTTTTTCATATAAATGTCAATATTACATTCTTTCTTACATTAGTTAGTGTATATTTCAAATGAAATTTCTACTACGATTAGTGTTGTATCGTCAAGATTATGATACAACATTTACTCATACAATACGCTACATTTTCATCGAGTCAAGTCCATGAGAAGCTTCCAATAAATACTCACATTGCGACGATGATGAGTAAGATTTGAATTCATCGAGTATAAAATAAAAACTAAATTTCGATTTGTGCCACTAAGTATAAGCGACATGTCCGCTATATGAATAGTACAAAAGTTCATTTAGCATATGGAATATGTATTCATTCAAATATAATCTTTCGTAGAAACAATTTTTAAACATGTATGAAATAGATCAGTTAACATCTGCGTTTTTTTTTGAATGATAATAGAAAACATGTGTCACATATCGGTACAAGATTTATTGAGAGCGGACGACATACGTACATGTACTCTGCTCTTTGCGAATTGATTCATTTTGATATCGAGTTACTAAGGGTTTGTCAAAATGTATTTTTATGTTTTACTACATAAATATATTATCTATATTAATGTTTCTGCATAATTTATTAACAGAAAGCTAACATGAGATACGCACATAAATTACAGTTTGTTTCGGAATTCCAACTACTTATTTATCGAGACATGAAAATAAATTATTTTTATATATTATAACAAAAAGTCATCCATTTTATTAGGTTGGCAACTAAGTCTTTGCGTTTTTTTTGAAATTGTTCTAGAACATTCGAGAAAGTTCTAAAAGTTTCCATACTAAGGGTATCTAAACCCAGGTCCAAAAATCCGACGACGGATCCTATCGGATCCGATCGGACCCGAAAACCGACAAAAATCCGATCGGAATCCGGGTTACAGATTTCCGATCGGATCCGACTATTGGATACTCATACGTTTCCGATAATTTCCGATTGTTGAAATCCTCATTTATTCCGACGGTCGGATTCCGATCGGATTTCCATAGGATTCCATCAATCTTTGAATCTGTGGTCGATCTTATTTATTATAATAATGTTTGGAATCTAAATTTTACCGTATGTGAGCCGGAAAGTTTTATGAATTGTAGCCACTGAAATTTGGTGTGTTTCATATAGGTTTTGGATTAGGGACTGCAGCAGAGCAGTTATTTTTTTGTATTCTATAATGCCTTGATCAAAGAACGTATAAAATGAGGCTACCCGCTAGAAAGCTTGTTGACCTGATAACAGCGAACTGACTGTTTTCAACATGAGCACTCAGGTTTTTGTGAAGTACGAACTAAAAGAGGTGCTGAAGCACAGAAGTAGTAAGTTCGATTCTATGTTTCTGCCCAATTGACCAAAATATACACTAAACAACATGTCATTATAGGTTATGACAGATATTGTTTCAAACGTAAGATTTTTTCAGTATATTCATAAATTCATAAAACAAAAAATTTTTGATTTAGAAACTGATTAAAAAGTTCTGAAGATGATATTGAATTTAGTTAAATTATGTATGATGAATCGAAGAGATGATCGAGTATATATGATAATGACTCAAGCCCATTTGTTAAAGATATTTTCCTATCAATAACAGTTGTTATTTCGTATTTCATGCTTAAATCTCATAACGACCGCACCAGTAGCTTTTTTTACATCATTTCAAAAGATTCTTACTATTAAACTACTTATATTATAAACATTGTGTAGGAGAGTTATGTGTAGGACATTTTGTTTGGCTTGCTAGACAAGGTAAGCAGGTCTAGAATGTACCCTGTCTCGAAAGATCGATCAGAAAATGAGAGTAGACGTGTTCAGTGACAGTTTCTGCATTCTGTATAACCACTCAGTGTCGTTAGATGTAATCTCATAATAATATTTGAGAGATGATATGGTTCTGCCAAGGGTGCTAAACTATACATACATTCAACAATATTCTAAACACTTCGATTATTTCTAAAATAAGAAAACACATGTTACATGAAGAAAACGTCTTATCTAAAAGCTTTCACGTTTAAGTTGAGATGCGTTATA